AAACTGTCTTACGAGCTAATGATGTTAATGAGCAATAATCATATAATACTTAAAAAAAACAATAAAACCTTACTCAAACATACCTTTTAGCTTGAAGCTTCAAATTATAGCTACTTAAACAATGTTAACTTTAAAACAATTACATAATGTATATTTAAATTTACTGTTACATTACAATAAGATATTTATAATTATTTGTTACATTTAATCTCTATTTGTGCACAATTGGTGCCACAATTGTTATTAATTGTAAGGTTGTACAACATCATTTTAGAGCGATTGTAAGTTGTAGTCAAGTTACTATTTGACTGAAACTGAAATAACTATTTCATAAACAATTAATCCAAACAATTATTCTCTTTTATTCAGGCATAAAGTATAAGTTTATCACATTATCAACATATGGTTCTTTTTCAAAATGTACAAACTTTTTAGATCTTATCGAACGAAAATATCAATAATTATATGAAAGGTTATTTTGCGTGGCTTTTTTGGAGTTATCTAAATATATGTATTTATATATATATCAAGTGTGTACTTTTCCTCTTCATCTTCTTTCCAGGTACTACATTTATCATTTAAATTGTTGTATAATGCTAATTTACCAAATTATTATCAGCAGTAAATCATTTTTCACATCACTTCCATTCCACCATTTTGCGTGTTCTCTGTAAAACCTAGTGTAGATGTGGGTGCATCTTGCGATGTATCTTCTAATGCTGGTGCATCCATGCTTTCAGGAAGATTATTTGCTGTTCCAGTCGGACAGTCGTCCCAATTTATTTTAAATCGAGTCACACGCGGTTTATCACCTAGTATGTTTCTCTGAACTTTATCAAATTGTGGTTGCGGAGGTGGATTCTCACGGAGTTCTGGATCTATGTATTCATTATTTATAAAGTAACCCACGCGAACAAATTCATGGCCTCTATATGAACAAGTCAGCAATACAACGGTTACGCCTAAAGCATCATTGACTGGAATCCTACTAACATCAGGTGGATCAGCCTAATGATAGAAGAAGAAAAGATAATAATCAGAAAATATTAATTATTAATGTTACTAAATTAGATAAATTATAATATGAAACATTTATATCGAATTCATGATATCTCACCTGAAATACAAACATATGTCTTCCTTCAGGAATTGGACCAACATAAATAGTATCTAGGACTTGATCAAACTCCTCAGATTCTGCACTGCCCACATATATCATTTTCCATTCCAAATCTTAAAGAATATCAGTATTGTTTATCGATATATTTCCTTTTTTCTACACAAACACACACACACACACATACATACACACACGCGCGTGTGTAAAAAATCATATCATGGAGAATGTTAGATATGCATATAAAGAATTGAAACAACTAAATTGTAAAGAAGCTTGATTGACAAAAACTTTCATCATATTAGAATGAATCTTTCCATCGTAAAAAATTTTATTTTAGAATCACATATATTACAGAACATTCATGAATAGTTCGATCATTGGTGTTGTATCATCATGGCAATTGCAAAATTAACCTAAAGATTAACACGCACTCAAAGATGCCAAACGAATAGAATAAAATAATAGCGTTACCGAGCGGAATCATATTCGTAAAATCAAAATTCGTACCTTCCTTTAATTCTTCAATGCATTCGAAAGTGACTTCAAACTGGAACGGATTCAGAAACGGCGAAGGATTGTCTAAGACAGCAACGTTAGCCAGTTGAACCTTGGCCATGATATAATCCACAAATTTGAGAAGTTAAAACGACGAACCAGTCTCAATGAGAACGCAGAGATGATTCCGTGGTACAACGTGATAAAACGTGTAACTCGCGCACGTTTGTGATTATCTACGCTATAGCCGTTGTATATACGTCCGAAAGCCGACAAGTAAACAACTTCATCGCAGCAATCGCATCACACAAGGTAGTTTGGCGGCAAACGAACCAAAGTACGCTTCCGGTGATACTGCGCGAACATTGAAAAATGACTGTTTATTATCGAAATCTAATATACATTACGATGGACGTGAGTACGATAAGAAATTTGCACCAGAATTTTAGAATAACACGCACATGAAGTGTTACTACATTTTTCCGCTACAGCATCGAGTCCTATGTGTTTATTGTGCGTTGCTTATTCCATGTGATACGGGGTTAATGGAATCCAAGAAGATGCATAAAGTACGTTTAAATAATAATTTAGACAATTGGAGATTTATATCTGTAGGATTTGAAAATGATTTCGTGAAAATGATTGTAACGAGCCACATGAGGTTATTCGTATTTTCGCAATTGTTTCGAATTAGATCAAGCGCTTATCTAAAGTGTTATTGGGCGCGTTCAAGCTGAACAAAGCGGCTAGCCTGCTCGCCGAGCAATTGAATGTGATTGGTTGGATCTATAAGTAACAACCAATCATGTTTATTTGCTTGGCGAGCAGACTAGCCGCTTAAGGTTTTGTCCAGAAGCACGACCGCTCACTGAGTGCTTAGGCCCTCAGCACAATGGAAAGAATAAGGAATTAGGAATAAAGAATAAACAATTTTAACCTATCAGAAATTGAATACATCAAAATACACGGTTTCTGATAAGTTGAAATTGTTTATTTCTAATTCCTTATTTCTATTGTGCGTAAGGCCTTATGACTCCTGTAACCATTATGGCGCGATAGCCAATCAACGTCCCGCTTGCTCGAAAGTAATAGATATATATTGGGTCATCTAAAAAATATCCGCGGTTTTTTGTCACTAGATGTGTGTTGATGGTCATATATCTAGTGACAAAGTACCGCGGATACTTTTTAGATGACCCAATAATTTCTATCACGCGAAAAAAGTTGAACTCAATCCAATTTTCGCTGCAGTTGGATGCAAGATGAGATCGACTTATGGTTCTCGCAGAAACGCGGCAACGCTTGCCGCGCGGCGGAAGTTATTGTATTGGGTCATCTAAAAACCGCGGATACTTTTTAGATGACCCAATACTAAACAATAATTCTATGTCGTATTCTTAACTCACCATGCAAAACTTCTAGAAATGATGTAATATTACTTCCGCCGCACGACAAAAGTTGGATTGAGTTCAACTTTTGTCGCGCGGTGGAAATATATCTATTATTCCGAGCAAGTGAGACGTTGATTGGCTATCGCGTCTACTTCAGCCATGCGGCAAGCGTTGCCGCATTCTGTGTGGGAACCATTAGGGCTATGTTCAGATTCCTAACCGAGTGCCACTCACTCATCGTTCCATTCTTGTTATTTACCGAATGTTAATCAAAAATGATATGACGCCTGCAGAGCACCCGCATGGGAATCTGAACACATTACTGTGTGCAGGGGCCAATAGGTCTGTTTGGTTGCTTGCACTTTTGGCACTCGACATCTTCGCTTTCTCTCTTTTTAAAGCAACATACAATATGTATCTATTTTATTTTAAGTGCAAAAATATTAGGGGATTTCACGCAACGCGAACAGACCTATTAGTGAGCAGTTGTGGTTCTGGATGTAATGGGTATAAAGCCGCGCAGTCATTCCCTTATTGAAATTCATACAAGCAGGTAGTCGTGTCGCGTGCAGCTCTTTTTCACATAACTTTTTGAATGGTAACTTTATGGATAGTCGGCACACTTTTGTCCTGTGGATTTAGTACAGAAACGAACCACATCTTCTTTCGACGATATGATATTTTGGCTGTGTTTACTGCTGAAAATGTACAGTATACGTAAACTGTAGATTTTCAGCTCTGGCAGTGAATTTTGGAACATAGCCAAAATCGTATCGTCAATGAATTTTGGAACACACCTTTATCGATAGTGTCAGAAAATGTATACAGTCACGTAGTTCCCAAAATGGATGTACTGGCGATAGTGTACGAGCGATTTCGATGGTAACAGGAAAAAGACCGACAGGCCTCTCTCAGGTTTCTCTCTGCTGCTAGCCTGCTCGCTGAGCGATTGAATATATTGGGTCATCTAAAAAGTATCCGCGGTTTTTTGTCACTAGATGTGTGTTGATGGTCATATATCTAATGACAAAGTACCGCGGATACTTTTTAGATGCCCTAATAATTGGTTGGTTCTGTAAGTAACAACCAATCATATTCATTTGCTCAACGAGCAGCCGCTTTGTTAACTTGACCGTGGCCTATGTTTACATATTCTATGTTTTTATTTTTATTAGTGTAATATTTTTAAATGTTCATTACATACTTTTGTTCTTTTAATAGATAAGTTTATTATTCATTTTAAAGTGTATTTCAATCTGATTATTTCAGATACGTATTACTTATTTAATATTTTTTACTGTGATTTCATTGCGATTTTATCTCTTCTGTTCTTGTTTATTTATAATTAAATTTGGCGTTCTTAAAAAATATAAAAGAATGGAAGAGGAAGAGTTATTACTGATTATAATATTTATGCAAGCGTGATACACACTGAATTGTATATACTGAAGTATATACACTGAAATGAACATCGAGGAAAATTCGTGGCCATTATTGATTAGCCGCCATTTTAGTTGAGACGATATTTGAGCGAATTCGAAGCGTTTACGCGCGCGATCGATGTATCGATCGATGTACTATCGATGTCTGAAAATCTATATGGGCATAAATGATATACAATATATAAACAAAAATAATGTCACTTCAATTTCATTAGTACATTCAATAAAATAACATATTAATAACCATATCCTACACCGTTAACACATGTGTAGGAATTGATACATTTAATAAAAAAATTTTTACCTAATGAAATGAAATGCCCTTTTTACTTCTTTGCCCACATCCAGGCACTTCATGTTGATGTTTTGTAGTTTTACAGTCACGCGATTTTATAATCTTTTAAAATAATCTTTTAGATATAACCCCACACATGATGATCTTGCTGACATATGCGTTTTGATGCATCTCACTAAAGAAATACTAACGTAAGTGCGCATGAGCACCTGAAAACTTCTGATTCGCTCTTATATTGACTAAATTAAAATGGCGCTGATCATTTGGTGTCAAGATTTTCTATTAGTGTTTTTGGCCCGACCGAATTTGCACTAATCTGGGTTGAAGTAATGATGTTTCGTGCTCTCCAATTGGTACAGCGTGTAACGTCAATAGCGAAGCATTTTCTAACCTAAGTTGGCAAACCCAATCGAGCCGAAAACGCTATATATGTTTCACAGCGGAGATGATCATTTCAGTGTTTATATAGTTCAGTGGTAATACATTTATAATTTTATGGAGTATTGTGCATTGAAGTCACGACAGATCAAAAAAAGAGGTTAGTTATTATATCTAACTGCCGAATTTTGACGATCTACATTTTGTGCTTCTGATTGCAGTTGCATTATAATTTGTTTATTTTTTTTTAGATGGTGGCAATCAGTAATACCGTTTTTCCAATTTGGAGACTTCTCACAATTATCCAAGAATTCAAGAATACTAATTATGACGAATTTTATTATTATATAAGAATGATGCCTGATAGATTTGATTGGCTTTTGGAAAAGACGAAACCTTATCTGTCTAAAATATAGCAGGAGACATTCATTTCCATCAGAATTGAGACTGGTTCTGAGGTAAGTATACAGTATTATAGAGACCTTATACGGTCAATATCAATAAATATATACTGACTATATTATTAATCATGTGTGGTTAATACAATTTGATGTTGAAAATATTAATAGTGATTTGAATTTTTTCATTTTTGAGCATCAATATGTTCTACCACAACAATATTCCTATCACAGATGTTTGAAGCTTGAATGAAGAAATTTAATCATTGTCAAATACTATCAGTATTTGTTGATACTGATGGTGTGACCATATAAGGTCTATAACATACATAAACTGAGCTCAAATTTTATCAATAATGCTGATATTGTAAGGTTATAAAAATATTGATGCATACTGTCACTATTTTACTAATTTAATAGTAATGATCGCTATTATTCATCATATAAAATTTGCTTAACAGTAATTTCTTGATCAGTAGTTTTTTTTTTATCAATATAAGAAGTTTATCCTAATACTATTCTCTCGATGTATTTCAGATATTTTGTTCACAAAAATAGTGTATGATCAAAGAAGTGGTCTTTTTTTATTGGTTACTCAATAGTAATAAGATTATTCCTGAGATATGTGATGTAATTATAAAAGCTTTACAGCCAATATTTACCACCCATGACAAGAAAGGATTAACGTAATATAGTTAATGGATTTTATGAGAATTTCCCTAATTGTATAAGGATACTTTGTATAAGAATCTAGGCTCCAAAAACTCAAGCTGTCTCTTCTTTAGTAGCAAGAAATTTTTTTCAATTGTTCTCATGACAATCTATGGTACAGATTTTCAAAAAGATGGACTATGGTACGTATTAATCAGCATAAATAGCGATAGTTTTAGTAACTAACCGAACTGATTTATAAATAAAACTATTAACAAAGAAAGGCCAATGAGAGCAAAATCGCAATCAATAAGCGTATACATTCATATTTTCTCAATACAATCTTATATATAATACATTATATTATATGTGATATAAGATCTTGACGAGAACACAGGACTAACAACCACATTTACAAAAATAATTCTTGAGATTAATCTATCTGTATTACAACTTGTAAAGAAACATTCCTGGTTGAATTGTCACAAAACCATCGAGACAGAAAATCATTTACCTTGAAATTTAGAATCGCTGTATAATGTATTTCATTCTTCTCATCTTTATTATTATTGTTTTTAATAGTTAAATATGGCTTAAAATAATCCAAAACGTCTGACCGGAGAGTAACATGTAACATGTATAAGAATATATTGAGTAAATATAAATGTACATGCTTATTGCAACTGCGGTGTTCTCAAGCCTTTCTTTATTAATAATTTTGTTTTTAAATATGTTAGGCCTGCAAATAATGACTGTGTTCAGCAGAAAAAGCAAGTTTGTAACTGTTGTAAAATTCTTTAATATGATTAGTCTTCCTCTTAGTTCCTCATTAGATAATAAATATATAAACTAATCATGTTTAAGAATTTTACAACAGCTGCAAAGCTATCTTTTTCTGCCAATGGATGCGTTCAGCAAAGAAAACTAATTAGTTAGCGCTTAGTGCAAGAACTGTAGTTCGGCTGTCACTTCAGCATTCCCTTGGAATACATTTTGAACCTAATTATTCACTGGTTTCTTTGGACGTCATTTCCCTGTGTACTAATGTCCCTATAGATTTGGCTATTAAGGAAATAATAGAGAGATAGGATTCTAGTTCGAGCAACATAAAATACCTAGGGAAGAATTCTTAATTGCGATTCGATTTATACTTAATTCGATCATTTTCTCGTTCAACAAGAATTTTTATAAAGATTTTTGGCACAATTCGCCGATACTTTTTTTTCTCTGATAATTTTGAACATCGTGATACAAGATATAAAAGAACTGGTAATTAAATTATTATCTATTATCTATTAAATTATTATCTATTATTTATTATCTTTGCTTATCATTTTATTTCCATTATGTCGGCATTCTGTTGACTGCTCCGAGAATTTTTGAATACAACATTGAATATTTTGATAAAACTGCATAACACTAACGATCTCACCGATTTCAATGACCTTGACATATGTGTCATATGTTACCAAGATCATGAGTGATCTCAACAAATTTTTAAATGTTTCTTGTTATTCATTAAAAAGTTATTAATGAAAAAAGTTTGAAAAATGATGTCTTTTCTGTTATATAAAATAAAAATTTTTTAAAAAGTATATTTTACAACTTTCTACGCGAAACAAATTCACCCCACCTTTCCCCCTACAAGGGGCATACGGCTTTCTAGGAAGGAGAGTGTAATATCTAGTCAATTATTCTTCTCACATTCGATTGTCATAGTCAATTTCTTCTTTCTCTGTGTATTGTAGATGACGCATAACATATATACTACGTTATATACACACACACACACATACAAATGTGCGCGCGCACTCCTATTCGCTATCTGAGGAATAGGAATTCCCTTCCACTGGAAATTGATCAAATAGATAGAAATTAATTCGTATAGTCATTGTCAAATCCAAAATTCTGATTTTTTGGATACTGGGATCCTCAGTCTGGGGAATTAGAATTCATGTAATTCAACGTGATAAAGCTCTCTCATTCCGACAGTTTGTCGAAATTATAGCTGTTTCAAACATTTTGCATATCCTAAAGATTGTCTAGAAAATTAAACACGTTTCATAAATCCATCATAACATTATTACCATATAAGAAAGAGCAAGTGAATATTGAAAATAAGAAAAAATGTCTAGAAATTAGTAATACAAAAAATGACTTGCTTTGTATAAAAAAGAAGATATCTCATTTTGTTTTCCCTAAGAAAAAAACAGGGCAACTGATATGTCTCTGATTAATAATTTCAAATGTTTAACATACTTAAAAAGATTTATTACTGCATTGTAATTCAATAATTTTTTTTGTTCTACGTATAACAATAGTCATGTGGGTAAAAAAATTTAATATTACTTATAAATGTTCTTGTTCAAACACATTAAGTGTACCTCACATTCTCCTACCTGTAGATACCTTTTGATATACCTTCATGATATATAAATTGTAAAAATTTTACATTAGAAACACAATGTTTGCGTAGAGAGACCTTAAAATAAACCCTCATAAAATCATTCTTAAAGAAATGATCATAATTTCCAATATAATTTTATAAAGAAGAATTTAGACAATGACACAGCCTTTATATGGTAGTATGCCTCTTAATCAAACATTAGATAGTTTAAAAGATCTTGTAAACGAATTTCATTTTTTGTCTCATTTTATCGTACTACAAAAGCGCCGCTTTCTTCCGCTCCTATTATGTAGCCACCGATCGTAGAACATTAAAAGGAATCGGTGAGTTGTTAATGCAAAAATGCAAAGATATACAATATGACGAGGTCATTATTTGAAAAGTACAGTTGAACTTCGGGTGAATTGTTGCCTGAGTTGTTTGAGTAATAAGAAACGTTCGCGCAGGGGCTGTGAGGATACTGGCAGTCGAGCGGTCTTTGATCAAGTTACCAGCACATTCCCCATCTAAACGCGCGTTGATATCTTATGAATATGGAAAATCCGTAGTCGAGATTACCATTATGCGTATTACATTATTTGATTGTCTTTCTTTAATCCAATATCAGATACAAAATCTAAATCTTTAATCTAAAAGTCGGATGGCTATGTTCGCATGTATGCGTTTTCGAAAATTGTTTAATTGAATTTATTCAAATATTATTATTAATATAATTATTTTTTTTTTCTAATATATATATGCATTTTTTTGTAGTTATAGAGAAAGCATCGAAAAAAATTCTAATATATAGAATTCACACGTGCACACATATCTTATTACATATATCCCTTTTATTTCATTTTACCGTTTTCTTTTTTATTATTTATCATAAAATTATAATTTATATATAAAAAAAAAAGTAGCAGCTACAGTAAAAAATTCATCTATTTAAGCTACTGTTCGATAAAATTTATAAAGCTATTAAAATTCATAAAATTACAGCTCGACCGAATCACAGTAAGTACAAGTCAGCTAATTATTTTCCAAAGTACAATCATTATACTTCAAAATTACATGTGGTAATTATGAAGTATAATTATTATACTTTGGAAAATAATTAGCTGACTTGTACTTACTGTGATTCGGTCGAGCTGTAATTTTATGGAACAAAAAGAAATGTATATTAAGAAAAAATTTAAAAAATAAAAAATTTATCTTTTTATACAGAAGGAAAAAAAATTTTAACCAACCACAATATATTCACTGTGTAACTTTTAAAATAAAAATTATTCTCATAGGCATGAATTACAGCAAGCAAGTCTATTTGGACTTTTCGAATTATTGATATTATAAGTATATCATGAATAAACATACATACATGTAGATAAACTCAAGTATTGGCACTCGCGAATTGGTCTGGAGCTTCTCTAATGAGACTACACTTTAATAACTATAAACTAGGAAAAGAAACAAAGAGAGCGACTTCAGAGAGAGCACGATTCCTTTCTGTCGAGTGGCTCTGGAGACCAAAAAACAATTGCGCGGGCGTCATTCCTTTGCCTGCGATGACTGAACGACGCGTACCGGAATCCCGTAGTCTCTAGAGCATCATCGAAGTGGATAAAATAACAGCGGGGTTAGTTCCAGAGTAGATCAAAGCCGTCCGCTCCGCGGGGGTGGCCGACAACGCGACGACCGACTGAGAGAGCAGCTCTCTTCGCATTTGTCTATACTCGAGCTCGCTCAAGTGGCATCGACTCTCAAAAAAGGAATAAAGAACGACCTCAGCGACGGGTTCATGCGTGAAACGATGCCACTGCAAACAATCTCGTAATTTGTTTAGGTATAACAATCCGTCTCTCGGTTCCATTCTAATCCTCCATTCTTATAACGAGATTATCGTAACGTTTTAGGATATTGATCGCATATTTATGAAGATATTTGATAAAAGAATTCGCAATATATGTGAAAATTAACTCATTTCATCCAATTTTCCATATAATTAGTGTGGAGTCCTTTATATATAATATTTTCTGCAATTTCAAAGTAATATAAGTTGTGATAATTTTCAATCTTGGCACTGCTGGTATATGATTAGCCGGAAGTTACAAATATGTGAGGTAGTCTTTATTTTTCCGTGTTCATTGTTTGGATTTCACCCTCCTGAAATCTCCTATAACATAATAGAATGCGGGATTGTAGATGATTAGCTATTAACACAATAATAGATGACTCGACGTAGATATGAAAGTCTCTCTTGAGGGAAGTGAAGATCTACATTATCTTTCAATCATGTCCTTTATTATCGCATTTGAGAACTGCCACTTTTTATTGAATATTACTGAAACTCTAATTCTATTTCTTTCCTAATTAACTTGTTATATTTTTAATGACAAGTTTATAAAATAATAAAATAAAATCGGTATGCTTTACATAAAATATAATAAAGTATATTATATTATTAAAGGCAAATATAAATAAAGAACTATATTTAGGATTATTATAAAAAGCATAAATTATTAAATTGATTGACTGCCATCGGATAGATAATTAATAATAATACACGCACACACACACACATGCACAGGTTTATTCAATGATACTTTATTTTTATATAATAATATGAAATTAATATTGCATTAAAGTAAAAAACATTTTTAGAAAATATAAAAATACATGAGATTCTTTGTATTACTTATATATTATTAGGTGTTGGAATTAATTCGTAGCGTTTTTTAATGAAAGAATGTTATTTATTTCACATGAGCATTAAAAAATACATTAATGAAAGTACTTCCCATCACTTGTAAAACGCTACGAATTAATTCCAACACCTAATATTTTTGTACTAATAGTTCTAATTGCTGATATATATTTAATACAATGCGTATTTATTTCTTCACGCAAGGCTTTTATTTCTTTTATTACTGAGATATCGGTAGAGTGAAAGATCTCTTGCCTTAGGGGGTTGAAGTGTCAGATTGGATAGACAATAAGCATATTATCTTGTAGGATAATCAGCCAATCACTACGAAATTGATGTAGCGGCGTCGTACCGTGATCCTCTTAAGGACAGCTTTTTCGAGAGTGAACGGAGTTCGTTATCGTGATTTAATTCGCAAAATCCTTTCAACCGCGGTCCTGTCTACTCTTTTTCTACCAAAGGTATTCCTTTACGCTCTCGCGAGTACCCATTCTTATATTGCTCGTCGCATTGCATTGTCGATTTCATCCTCACCCTTATCCTTTCTTTTCCTCTTCTCTCTTATTCTAGTATTCTTCAGAATTTCTTCGCAACTATCCGTTGAGTTCCCAAAGCTTCTGGAGTTAACTGAAACGTATCGACCATTTCATATTTATATGAAAGCACAGCAGCACGTCTTTGCGTTTATTTTTATTATATCAATCAAACAAAAAAAAAATAAACTTTGTAGTATATAATATATAATAAACTTTAAACTTTTAAAATAAATAGTAATAACTGGCACCAAGTTAACATCAAATTAAATAGAAAATATAATCCAAATGGAACTATCTTTAATTTTTATACAATGAAACTTTAGTTAAATTAATATCTTTATATTGCTATTAAAGGCTTAATATCTTTGCTATTAAAAATCTT